GTGTGTGAGATCAGAGGGAATAGATGAGCTGTTTTCTAATTACATTCAATTAGAAATTTTGACTATAAGTTAATATGTTAGACTTCATAAGGTCTGTGCAGGTACAGACCTGTGGCAACACTTGTTTCAGTGTAAATTTGTACTGTAAATTAGTTATGTCTTTTATTTGTTGCTATTTAACACTATATCTTTAGTTATTTATTTTCATTTAGATCCTACCCAAATCTAGAAACACAGCGTACCAAAACTTATGAGATACAGCAAAAGCAGTACTAGGAGGGAAGTTTATTAAAGATAAACACATACAATAAAAAAAGAAAATATCAAATAACCTAACTTTACACCTCAAGGAACTAGAAAAAGAACAAGCAAAACCCCAAGTTAGTAAAAGGAAGGAAACATTAGGATTAGAGCAGAAATAAATGAAATAGAGATGATTAAAAACAATAGGAAAAAAAATCAGTGAAACTAAGAATTGGCTTTTTGAAAAGATCAATTAAATTGACAAGCCTTTAGTTAGACTACTAAGAAGGAAAAAAAAAGAAGACTCAAATCAGAAATGAAAGGAGATATTACAACTGATGACACAGAAATGAAAAGTATTATAAAAAAACAACTATGCCAACAAATTATATAACCTAAAATTAACGGATAAATTCCTAAAAACATGCAATCTGCCAAGACCGAATCATGAATAAATAGAAAAATCAAAGCAGACCTATGACTAGTAAGGAGAGTGAGTCAGTAATCACCAATTCACTGGTAAATTCAACAAAACGTTTAAGAATGAATGCTAATCCTCCTCAAATTTTTCCAAAAAAATTGAAAGAGGGAACACCTAAACCCATTTCATGAGGTCAGCATTACCCTGATACCAAAACCAGGAAAAAAAAAAATACTGTAAGAGAAGAAAACTACAGGCCAATATCCCTGATGAATATAGATGCAAAAATTCTCAACAAAATATTAGCAAACCAAATTCAACATCACATTAAAAGAAGCATATACCATGACCAAGTGACGTTTATTTCTGGGATGCAACGATGGTTCAGCATATGGAAATCAGTTAATGGGATAAACTATATACATCAACAGAACAAAGGACACAAATCACGTGATCATCTCATAGATGCAGAAAAAGCATTTAATAAAAATTCAACACCCTTTCATGATAAAAACATGCAATAAATTAGGAATAAAAGGAAATTGTCTCACTATAGTAGAGGCCATACATATGAAAAGCCCACAGCTAACAGACGATGTTTGGTGATTTGATTGGGTACTTTATTCCATTTACACTTAAAGTAATTATTAATACAAAAGGATTTACTATTAGCATTTTGTAAATTGTTTTCTCTTTTGTAGCTTTTTGTTACTCTCTTCCTCTGTTGCTATCTTCCTCTGTGGTTTTTTTGATATTTTGTAGAAACATGTTTTGATTGCTTTGGCATTTTCTTTTGTGTATCTTATATATGGATTTTCTTTGTGGTTACCATGAGGCTTACGGAAAACATTATAGTTCTAACAGTCTATTTTAAGCTGATAACAATTTAATTTCAATCACATACAGAAACGACACTTTTACTTCTCACACACACACAGAGTTTTTGATATTGATATTGAATTGACTTATTTTTGTATTGTATATTAACAAATTTTGTTTGTAGTTATTTGTAGTACTTTTCTCTCTTAATATTTATACTATGGTTAAAAGTTATTTCACAGTATTTCATTATTCTGTATTTTTCCATATATTTACCTTTACCAGTGAGATTTATACTTCATATACTATCATGTTGCAGCAGTTTCAGTTCCTTTCATTGCAAGTTCTTGTTTTGTTTTCATTACACTTCTCATAAGGCAGGTCTAGCAGTAATGAACTCCGTCAGTTATTGCTTATCTGGGAAAGTTTTTATCTCTCCTTCATTTTTAAAGGACTATTTGCTTGGTATACTATTCTTGGTTTACAGGGTTGGTTTTTTTGTTTTATTGTTGTTGTTGTTTTTAAAGATTTTATTAGGGAATTGGGGAAGGGAACAGTGTGTTTTCCCAGGACCCATCAGCTCCAAGTCAAGTGTTGTCCTCCTTAGTTGTGAAGGGTGCAAACTCAGCTCTAAGTCGCCGCTTTCAATCTAGTTGTTTTTTTTTCGGGGGGGGCGGGGGCGGGGAGCGTGTGCGCAGCCCACCATCCCATTCAGGAGTCCAACCAGCAACCTTGTTGTTAGGAGCATGTGCTCTCACCAGCTGAGCCATCCTGCCACCTGTTGGCAGCTCAGCAGCAGCTCAGCTCGGGCACAGCTCCCTGGCCCGTATGGGAATCAAACCGGC